TGCCACGAAAACCTCTTTACCCTTATCTAAATACAGTGGACCCTCGACCAACAATATTAATCCGTTCCTGAGAGCTCATCGTTAATCGAAATTATCGTTAGTCGAGGTAATTTTCCCCATAAGAAATAATGGAAATCAAATTAATCCATGCAAGACACCCAAAAGTATTGAAAAAAAAAATTTACCACATGAAATATTAATTTTAATACATACAAACTGAAGAAGACATGTATAATTACATGACACTTACCTTTATTGAAGATCTGGTGATGATTGATGGGATGGGAGGAGGGGAGAGTGTGGATGGTGTTAATGTTTAGAAGGGGAATCCCCTTCCATTAGGACTTGAGGTGTCAAGTCCTTTTCCGGGGTTACTTCCCTTCTTTTAATGCCACTAGGACCAGCTTGAGAGTCACTGGACCTCTGTCGCACAACATATCTGTCCATAGAGGCCTGTACCTCCCGTTCCTTTATGACATTCCTAAAGTGTTTCACAACATTGTCAGTGTCACAATTAAACACTTGTTCAGGTTTCAATTCTTCACTGTCTATGTACTCCTTGAATTCCTGCACATATTTTTCAGCTGATTTTTGGTCCAAACTGGCAGCCTCACCATGCCTTATCACACTATGTATGCCACTACGATTCTTAAATCTATCTAAAATCTGGAATTCATTACCTGTAAATATAAAAGAAACACTACCTGTTTATAAATTCAAGTCTCTTCTCAAAGATCACTTACTCACTCAAAACCAAATAAATACTGAATAACTGAACCTTATAAATTGTATATCCTATATGTTACTCACAATTATATCACACAGATGTTAAACCTAGGACCCAATCTAACTTTATTATTTTTTTAAATACACTACCTAATAGAATACTCCATTCGACTGAATGTACAGCAATGCAAGCAACCATATGACCTGTCTTTGTAATACTCATTTGTGCTTTATAGTTATCTGTTTACAATAATGTTTTATCACTGATTTCATCATTGCTTAGTTAATCTTAAGTTAATTTTAAGCCAGCCCGTAATGCTATGCATATAAGTGGCTTTGGCATGCTGCTCTTACCTGTATTTTTTGTACCTCTGTATGTATGCTTAAATTACTAAATAAATAAATAAATAAATAAATAAGTAAATAAATAAACCAACCTTTGCTGGCCTTAAATTCACTCGCATCACCACTAGTTGCAGGCATTTTTCTAATTAAATCGTCATGCAGCTTCCTAGCCTTTTCACATATGATCGCTTGAGAGATGCTATCTCCTGCTATCTGTTTTTCGTTTATCCACACCAATAACAGTCTCTCAACATCTTCTATCACTTGCGATCTCAGTTTCGAAAACATAGTTGCACCTTTGGCAAGACAGCTTCCTTGATTGCCGTTTTCTTGGCCACAATAGTAGCGATTGTTGATTGGGGTTTTGTGTACAACCTGGCCAGCTCAGAGACACGCACTCCACTTTCATACTTAGCAATAATCTCTTTCTTCATATCCATAGTAATTCTCACCCTTTTTGCTGTAGGGTTGGCACTAGAAGCTTTCTTGGGGCCCATGGTGACTTATTTTGCAGGTGCAATCACTAAAAACGCTGTGATAATATGAAATGTTCCGATTGTGTGTTTGGATGGGACCGCGGTGGCTGGCTGGCGCTTGTAAACACTGGCCACAGGTGGACGCGTCTCAAACGGAATGAATCGTGTTGGTCAAATTTTTTTGCGCTAGTCGAGGCAAAATTTTTGCATTAAAATGTAACGCTAGTCGGATTTAACGTTAGACGATGCCATCGTTGGTCGAGGGTCCACTGTACTGTTCACCTATGTGTTTCACTGTAAACACTTGATCTACACATCCCCTACCCTTCCTAAAGCCTCCTTGTTGATCTGCTATTCCTCTTTCTGTCATACTCTTAATTCTTTTAATAATAACTCTACCATACACTGTACCAGGTATACTCGACAGACTTATTCCCCTATAATTTTTGCACTCTTTTGTTCCCTTTGCCTTTATACAAAGGAACCATGCATGCTCTCTGCCAATCTCTAGGTACCTTACCCTCTTCCATTCATTTATTAAATAAAAGCACCAACCACTCCAAAACTATATCCCCACCTGCTTTTAACATTTCTATCTTTATCCCATCAATAGGTAAGTAATTATTCAGGTATGCACAAATACAGTTACATAGATTATCATACATAGCAGAATGTGTGTAGAGAACCTAAGATAACCCAAAAAAGTCAGAGTGACTTATTGCCATTGGGGTCCTTTTAATACCTTATTATTATACTATAAAAGAGATAATATCTTACTTTAATTTTATACAAAAGTATAATAATGAGCTATTTATATTTACATGTTTGTTAGCAAAAAAAATTCAAAAATCATTCTCCTTCCTTTGTCACTACATTCATTAGGCACCTGTTGACTCTTCTTGAACTGGTTCGTGTTATGACTGGCTTTGACATATACATTCAGTTTGTTCCATTCCTTTATTGCTGTGCAGTAAATGGTGTTTGAAGCCTGGCCAGTGACTGTGGGTACCACAAAGTTGTGCTCTCTTCCCCTAGTACTATGATTGCTTTGGCTTCCAGCCTTGACAAAATTGGCAGCAAGATATTCTGGACACTGTGAGCAATTTTATAAACTTGATTTAACCTCAGTTGTTTTACTCTGCCTTCAACATTCAGCACATCCATTTGTAATTCATCCTGGCCTACATGTTCTCTTGGACCCAGATCCAGGATGAATCTTACCATTTTATTCTGGGTGATTTGCAGTCTATCTTTCAGTTTTTTTGTCAAGGCAGAGTACTATGAAGAGCAAGCGTAGTCTATATGACATTGTATAAGGGTAAGACATGGTCTTGCGAGCCTCAGTAGAGGAACTTAAGTCTGGCATTCGCTTTCTTTTCTACACTGTTCCCTATCAATTCTCCTGACATGAATGGGTCAAAGGGGATTTTCAGATATTTTGCTAAGGAAACTGAAGTGATGGGTTCTCCATTACACCGGACATTAAAATTATTTGCCCTTAATAATAATAATAATAATAATAATAATAATAATAATAATAATAATATCTTTATTTCTACAAGTACATGTACAAGTTATACAGGCCTAGCTGACATCAGTGACATACTACTACATAGAAAGCTGCTTGTTATGCAGAGCATTTCGGGCAAATTAGGTCAGTTTTTTCCCAGGATGTGACCCACACCAGTCGACTAACACCCAGATACCCTTTATTATTGATGGGTGAACATAGACAACTGGTGTAAGGAAACACGCCCAGTGTTTCCAACTGTTGTGGGGAATTGAACCCGGACTCTGTTTGTTTCGTGCCAAAGAGTATGGCTTCTGTTTTCCCGAGGTGTAACGATAGTTTGTTGTCTACTAACCACTTGCTGCAAGTCTCCAGTTCCAGTGTTATTACAATAGCTATATGTTGTGGGTCTTTACCTGACACTAACAGAGCACTGTCATCCACATACAGTAGGAGTTTGCACTTGACACTGATGGGCAAGTCGTTTACATAACATAGAAATAATAAGGAACCCAGAATACTACCTTGGGGAACTCACATGCTATTGGCAGGGGTTCCGATTCTGTTTTGTTGATTTTATCCATTTGTTTCAAGTTGTTAAGATAGGACTTAAACCAGTCTACAGAATCTATGCCAATACACAAATAACCCGCACATAAAAGAGAGAAGCTTACGACGACGTTTTGGTCCGACTTGGACCATTTACAAAGTCACACAGTGTGACTTTGTAAATGGTCCAAGTCGGACCGAAATGTCGTCGTAAGCTTCTCTCTTTTATGTGCGGGTTATTTGTGTATCGTTCCAGTCACGGTATTGTGCCTTTTTTGTTATCTACGCCAGTAGCTTGAAGTGTCTTACATGATATATTGTGGTTGACAGTATCGAAGGCCTTTTGCAAGTCTGTTACCATTCCTATGAGGTTCGCTATTGACATTTCAATTCTCATGTAATCCATCAGATTAATTAGGGAGGTGTCAGTTGAATAAGATGTCCTAAAGCCTGATTGGTAACTATGAAGAATGGTTGTGATGGGGAATGTGATTGATTGTGGACGGTATAGTGATAATGTTGATAGATATCGGTGTAGGTGGCAGTATGAGGTTTTGCGATGAATGTGAAGTGTTTCATATTCAGACCCCAACAAAAATGGGTATTTTGGCGGAACGATTAACAGCATTTCAGTTAATTTCAGTGAGGGAAATTGATTTGATATATGAGCAAATTAAGTTACGAGCTCGGTCACAGAACGAATTAAACTCGTAAGTCAAAGTACCACTGTATTTTTTTTTTTTTTTGTGTATCTTTATATGTATATGCTTCTAAACTGTTGTGTTCTGAGCACCTCTGCAAAAACAGTGATTAATGTGTGAGTGAGGTGAAAGTGTTGAATGATTATGAAAGTATTTTCTTTTTGGGGATTTTCTTTCTTTTTGGGTCACCCTGCCTTGGCAGGAGACGGCCGACTTGTTGAAAAAAAAAAAAAAAAAACCTAGGTAGGAGACAGCTGATGAGGTAAAACACAAAATTTGTTTCTAAAATAGTTTCCAGTTTTCCTTGTACGATCACATCCTCACATCTGGCTATAAAAGCCAGACTAGTTCATAATTATCCAGGTAAATGATTTCTGGTCCAGTAATAAGTTGGCATTCAAATATAGTACTTCTATTTCCTCACCATGAGTGTTCGTTTCTCTTTGCTGGATCCTTAATCCATAGATATCTTCTTCCTTCAATGCACCAGCCATATCCCACTGAGGCAGGGATCCATAGATACATATGCACATAAATAGCATTCTTTACTTTCCTTTGATGTTGCATAATGTAAGGAATGAATAATTTAAACACGCATTGTTAAAAGTTTATTTTTCACTGGTTCTAACATTGCTTATTTATCTAATTTGTGTAAACCATTGATCAGTTGATAAGTTTTATGCTGGTTTTCAGGAAAATTCTGCCAATGAATCTGTAACAAATGATATTGCTGGCCAAGCTTTGGTAGAGAATGTAGCACATAAGCTCTTCATGTGGGCTGATGGTGAGGACCGTGCTGCTAGATTTAATAAGTGAGTATTTTCCTTTTAATTTCTTAACTCTGTTGGTGCCTGTGTCTGAGTATTGTGTGTTTGTGTTATTCAAAGACAGCCACTTAAAATTGCAAGGAAATGGTCATATTGAATTTGGTTATTTTGCTGGGCTTTTCATTTATCAGGTAAATAAAACAATGCTTATAAAGTTTCTGGTGTTTAATACATTTGAAAAGGTGTAATAGACAACAATATCTGAACTCAAACAATTGCTTGGGCACAGTTGTGCTGAATTTTTGACATTTTTACTACCAGGTATAATAAAACAACTTCATCTATCTTCCTGAGTCAGTGATGGATGTAACATAGTACCATCTGTTGAGCATTAGACTTGTATATTTAATTAAAGTGTTTATGTTAGAGTATTACTTAGAGAGCCGAGGATGTTGCAGTTTAGAGGATCGTTGAGTTGTGATGTCAGTGTACTTCAGAGAAGACAGTGATTGAATGAATGACAATGAAAGTGGTTTTCCTCTTATCAGGTCACCCTACCTTAGGGGAGATGGCCGTTGTATTAACATAGAAAGTGTCCTTGTATTACTTTTGGTAAGATAGTGTGCATTATATTATTTTCTGAATATTTTGGATGCTGTTAGTAATTTCTCACCTTTTGTATTTTATGGATCCTGTTGGTGAACATTTCTAAACTCTTTCTCTGTACTTAACAGGAATGTTGTAAAAGTCTTCTATACAGCTGGCCTAATGTTTGATGTTTGTGAAGTATTTGGTGAGTTGACAGAAGAAGTTATATCTCAGAGGAAGTATGCCAAGTGGAAAGCCACCTACATTCACAACTGTCTGAAGAATGGGGAGACACCCATCCCAGGACCCATGGGAGGAGGTAAACCTTCTCTATAATTAGTGTCCTATCAATTTGTATATACTATATGAGTCATTCAGTATGCTTTCATTTCAGTGTTCTTGAAAATAATGTTTAAATTGCAGGTATATGCTGTTGAGTAACTAACATACTAATTTTGCATTATTCAGCATGATAAAATTCCAAGTTAGTATTACAAATTAAGAAACATTTAAGTGCCATGCTTTATTCATATTTTGAATTTAATATGAACAAGTATTTGTGCTTGAGACTTATATTGTAGTGTATGTTTATATGTATGAAAGTATAGTGGTATGAACACACTTATATGGGTGTGAAGCTTGGGTTGTAAATTCTGCAGCGAGGAGGCAGTTGGAGTTGGTGATGTCCTGTCTAAGGGCAATGTGTGGTGTAAATATTATGCAGAGAATTTGGAGTGTGGAAATTAGGAGACGGTATGGTTAATAAAAGTATTAGTCAGAAGGCTGAAGAGGGGTTGTTGAGGTGGTTTGGTCATTTAGAGAGAATGGATCAAAGTAGAATGACATGGAGAGCATATAAATCTATAGGGGAAGGAAGGCGGGGTAGGGGGTCGTCCTCGAAAAGGTTGGAGGGAGGGGGTGAAGGAGGTTTTGTGGGCAAGGGGTTTGGACTTCCAGCAAGCATATGTGAGCGTGTTAGAAAGGAGTGAATGGAGACGAATGGTATTTGGGACCTGACGAGCTGTTGGAGTGTGAGCAGGGTAATATTTAGTGAAGGGATTCAGGAAAACCGGTTATTTTTATATAGCCAGACTTGAGTACTGGAAATGGGAAGTACAATGCCTGCACTTTAAAGGAGGGGTTTGGGATATTGGCAGTTTGGAGGGATATGTTGTATATCTTTTTACATATACGCTTCTAAACTGTTGTGTTCTGGGCACCTCTGCAAAAACAGTGATTGTGTGTGAGTGAGGTGAAAGTGTTGAATGATGATGAAAGTATTTTCTTTTTGGGGATTTTCTTTCTTTTTGGGTCACCCTGCCTCGGTGGGAAATGGCCGACTTGTTAAAAAAAAAAAAGTTTATACGTACTGCAGATAGTAATGACAATAGCTTTTATGTTATTGACCAGGCAATAGAATAATGTTGGACTTCAGGATGTACATGTTTATAGAGAAGCCACAGATATATCAGATCACTTTTTAGTTGTAGCTACAGTGAGAGTAAAAGGTAGATGGGATACTAGGAAAATGGAAGCAGAAAGTAAGATTGAAGTGAAGGTTTATAAACTAAAGGAGGAGGCAGTTAGGGTAAGATATAAACAACTGTTGGAGGACAGATGGGCTACTGAGAGTAGGCAATGGGGTAGAAGATATATGGGGTAAGTTTAACAATACAGTATAGTGTTAGTGTTCAGCAGAATTTGTGGTTGCAGGAAAGCGGGTGAAGGAGGGAAGAAGAGCGATTGATGGAATGATGATGTAAAGAGAGTAGTAAGAGAGAAAAAAATTTAGCATATTAGAGGATTTTACAAAATAGAAGTGATGCAAGGAGGGAGGAGTATATGGAGAGAAAAAGAGGTTAAAAGAGTGGTGAAGCAGTGTAAAAAGAGAGCAAATGAGAGAGTGGGTGAGAAAATAAGAAAAAGTTTTGGAGTTAGATTAATAAGTTTGAAAGAATGGGTTTTAGTTAAAAATAGGAGAGGGGAGTTACTAAGTGGAGAGTTAGAGGTATTGGGAAGATGGAGGGAATATTTTGAGGAATTGTTAAATTTTAATGAAGATAGGGAAGCTGTGATTTTGTGTATAGGGTAAGGAGGAATAACATAGGAGTGAGGAAGAACCAGTTGTGAGTGTGGAGGAAGTGTGTGGGGCAGTGAGTAGAATGAAAGGGGGTAAAGCAGCTGGGATTGATGGGATCAAGATTGAAATGTTAAAAACAGGTGGAGATATAGTTTTGGAGTGGTTAGTATTTTTATTTAATAAATGTATGGAAAAGGTAAGGTACCTAGGGATTGGCAGAGAGCATGCATAGTTCCTTTGTATAAAGGCAAAGGGGACAAAAGAGTGTAAAAATTATAGGGGAATAAGTTTGTTGAGTATACTGCCTGGTAAAGTGTATGGTCGAGTTACTATTGAAAGAATTGCGAGTAAGACGGAGAGCAGGATAGCAGATGAACAAGGAGGCTTTAGGGGGTATGTAGACCAAGTGTTTGCAGTGAAACATATAGGTGAACAGTATTTAGATAAGGGTAAAGAGGTTTTTGTGGCATTTATGGATTTGGAAAGGACATACGATAGGATGAATAGGGGGGCACTGTGGCAGATGTTGCAAGTGTATGTAATAGGAGGTAGGTTATTGAAAGCGGTAAAAAGTTTTCACGAGGATAGTGAGGCTCAGGTTATTAGAGTTCATAGGCGAGAGGGAGATTTCCCAGTAAAAGTAGGCCTTCGACAGGGATGTGTGATGTCACCATGGTTGTTCAATATATTTATAGACATTGTAAGAGAAGTGAATGCTCCGGTGTTGGCAAGAGGTGTGGGGTTAAAAGATAAAGAATCTAACACAAAGTGGGAGTTGTCACAGTTGCTCTTTGCTTATGACACTGTGCTTTTGGGAGATTCTGAAGAGAAGTTGCAGAGGTTGGTTGATGAGTTTGGTAGGGTATGTAAAAGAAGAAAATTAAAAGTGAATATAGGAAAGAGTAAGGTGATGAGGATAAAAAAATTAGGTAATGAAACATTGGATATCAGATTGGAGGGAGAGTGTATGGAGGAGGTGAATGTGTTCAGATATTTAGGAGTGGATGTGTCAGCAGATGGGTCTGTGAAGGATGAGGTGAATCGTAGAATTGACGAGAGGAAAAAAGGTGAGTGGTGCACTGAGGAGTCTGTGGAAACAAAGAACTTTATCCATGAAAGCAATGAGGGGAATGTGTGAGAGTATAGTTATACCAACGCTCTTGTATGGGTGTGAGGCATGGATTGTGAATGTTGCAACAAGGAGAATGCTGGAGGCAGTGGAGATATCATGTCTCGGACAATGTGTGGTGTGAATATGATGCAGAGAATCAATAGTTTGGACATTAGGAGGAGGTGTGGGATTACCAAAAGTATTATCCAGAGGGCTGAGGAGGGGTTATTGAGATAGTTTGGACATGTAGAGAGGATGGAACAAAATTAAATGACTTTGAGAGTGTATAAATCTGTAGTGGAGGGAAGGCAAGGTAGGGGGTCGGCTTAGGAAAGGTTGGAGGGAGGGGGTAAAGGAGGTTTTGTGTTAGGGGCTTGGACTTCCAGCAAGCATGTGTGAGCATGTTAGATAGGAACAAATGGAGACAAATGGTTTTTAGGACTTGACGTGCTGTTGGAGTGTAAGCAAGGTAACATTTATGAAGGGATTCAGGGAAACCAGCAGGCCGGACTCGATTCCTGGAGACGGGAAGTACAGTGCCAGCACTCTGAAGGAGGGGTGTAAATGTTGCAGTTTTATAACTGTAGTATAAGCATGCCTCTGGCAAGACTGATGGAGTGAATGATGATGAAAGTTTTTCTTTTTTGGGCCACCCTGCCTTGGTGGGGAAATGGCTGATGTGTTAATAAATAAATAAATAAAACAAAAATGAATAAGTTTATGTGTGTTAGCCCTTTTAATATTGCTTTTGCTGTTTTTACTATTTTAAAATACTACCTATGGTAGTATTTATAAAGGAAAAAATGTTTTGTGTGTTGCATAGGGATTGATAACCCTTCCATTATGCCATCCTTCTGCTTACCTAAATATAGCCTTACATTACTGAAAGTCTTTTGTTGGTTTACTCTATAACCAGTGTATCTGCCTGACTAGCTCTTTATCAGTGGAAATTAATATTTGACATACCAGCTGTCTTTGCCAAGGTAGGGTGACCCACCAAAAAAAGGAAACATTCACCATCATTCATTCAGTGTCCTAGCATCCCTGTGGCTCATCTGTGACTTTATCTTCTAGTAGTGTCCCTGAGTTTGCTTCTCAAACAACTTAACGTCTACCTTATCAGTTCCCCTGAGTATTTCGTATGTTATCATTTATCCCTCTGGTTCTGTCCAATATCACTAATTGTGTTTTATATATATATATATATATATATATATATATATATATATATATATATAAATATATATATATATATATATATAATTTTAAAATATATATATATATATATATATTTTTTTTTTTTTTTTTTTTTCAAAAAACCCGGGGCCGTGTCCCACCGAGGCGGGTGGCCCAAAAAGAAAAAAAAAAATTTTTCTCTTTTCAAATTTAGTAATTTATACAGGAGAAGGGGTTACTAGCCCCTTGCTCCCGGCATTTTAGTCGCCTCTTACAACACGCATGGCTTACGGAGGAAGAATTTTGTTCCACTTCCCCATGGAGATAAGAGGAAATAAACAAGAATAAGAACTAGAAAGAAAATAGAAGAAAATCCAGAGGGGTGTGTATATAATGTGCTTGTACATGTAGTACATGTGACCTAAGTGTAAGTAGAAGTAGCAAGACCCTACCTGAAACCTTGCATGTTTATGAGACAGTCAAAAGACACCACAATCCTACCCTCATGTAAAACAATTACAGGCTTTTTGTTTTAAAACTCACTTGGCAGGGCGGTAGTACCTCCCTGGGGCGGTTTTCTGTCTACCAACCTTCTACCTATATATAAATATAATATATATATATATATATATATATATATTATATATATAATATTATAATATATATGCATGTATGCGTGTATGCACCTGGAGAAAGAGGAATGCAGAGGAGAGAGAGAGATTTTGGGAGATGTTAAGTGAAAAGTATAGGAGCCTTTGAACCAGTGAGAGAGTAATTGTGGTAGGGACTTGAATGCTAAAGTAGGAGAAACTTTAGAGAGGGGTGGTAGTAAGTTTGGGTGCCAGGGGTAAATGATAATGGGAGCCCTTTGATTGAACTTTTTATAGAAAGGGGGTTTTGTTAAGGTAATACATATTTTAAGAAAAAGAGGATAAATAATATACACCCATA